CCTCGCAGCCCGGACACCGGTACTTGAGGTGCGGCCGCAGGGGAGAGCGGAGAATCTGTCACCGCTAGACGAGGGAGTCCCAGTTCCACCCCGTTCCGCTGTGACGCCTGACAAAATTGCTAGTGCCCCTTCTTCCAAAGGAACTTTTTCTGTATGTGCAGCATAGACTGCAGTAATTCTAAATTTTTGTTCTGCTCTTTCGCTTCTTCTTTTCCTACCTCCTAGCGGCTCCCGTCTCAAAACACCGCTGCCTCTGCGTCTGTCTTGGCTGTTAAAGCCTTGAGGGCAGAAACCTGAAGCGGGGCTTAAAAGGGTCTCTCTCTCTCTTTCAAACAAGGGCTTGTGATTCCCTTGAGGCCTTTCCCCAAGCCTTCACAAGACTTGACCACAACTTTGATTCCTTTCCTATTTTAGCTCTTTTAAGGAGGTTACATGGTAACACAACTCATGGCCAGGCCTTCTTGCAAACTCACACAGCAAGTTTCAGAAACTTATTTACGAGTGAATTTTTAAAATTGAAATCATCTTTTTGAAGAGATAGTTTTATACTATCTTTGTTGATGGAAAGAGAATCATTTTAAGTTAGAAAGCTGTCAAAAGTATCTGGTATTTGCAGCCCCCCCCCCATTAGGGAGGGTGAATTTGACGAGAGCGGGTTATTTTCCTGGGTGTATACACGAAGATGGCCAGAGCTGAAAGGATTTGCCCAACAGGACATATTTTAAAATGAGCCCCGGACCAGACCCCAGTGCACCCTCAGATTCATTGTTTACTAGTAGTTTAACATGCTAAACGTTGAACTCCGAAGCTTGAGGGATTCATTCTTTTCCACTTCTGTTTCACCAAATAAAAGTAATACTGTCATTTTAACCTGACAGGAATACAATGAAGCTTCATGGGAGAGTGTTTACCAAAATATTGAATGTATTTTGGGGCAGAAGAAATCCAAGTAAATTTTTTTCACCAGCCTAACATCAATGTGACTAACGTCACAAGTGATTCAACAACACATTGGATATATGAAAACCGCATTTGCAAAAAAATCATCTCGGCTAATACTAAAAGCAGAGACAACCTCCCCTTCTGCCCTAAGGCTTTTTAGAGTAGTAAAGATAATTATGTAGAAATATAGACTCTCCCATGCCCCCCCAAACTACTTCCAGCATCTTCATTCTCATTTCTGGACCTGTAATAGGACTGACTACAAAATGTTCCTGCCTAATCCCTGTATTTTCCTCAAGGCTGCTCAGTAATTCTTTTTAGTTCATTGACTCTGATATTCACCATGACAGCTCTTCTACAATTTTTTTTTTGTCACATTTCTAAACCCAGTCCCACCACATGGACTCTTAAGTTGCAAACACTTTTTTTCAGCATTAGAGAAAATACAGTCACAAGCCAATTATTTATGTATCTGTATGTGCTCGTCCCCTACAAACAAAATATTTTTTAAAATCTTCCGCCAGCTTACTTCTTGCTCTTCAGCTTCAAAAAAATAAAACTCCCGTATTCTTTTCAAAGTTTTAGATCTGCAGAAAAGTTGCAAAATAGTACAGAGTTCGTTTATGCCCTCTACCCAGCTTTCACTCGTGGTGATATCTTACATAATTAGCATGATTATCAAAAGTAGAAAACTGACATTTGTGTAATACGATTAACAAAACTACAGCCCTTGTTTGAGTTTCACAACTTTTCCCGGCAATATTCTTGTCCTGTTTCAGGACCCAGTCCGAGATCTCAGGTAGCACTTTGATGTTGAGTTCCCCTTTGTTAGTCTTTTCTAATCTGTGATCATTTCTGATATTTTTTCATGTCTGGAATGGCCTGGACACTTCTGTTGAGTACTGGTCAGGTGTTTTGTAGGCTGTTTCTCAGCTTAGGCTTGTCTGCAGTTTTCTCATGATTAGAAGTATCAGAGAAGACTCCCCAGGGAAATCACACTTAAGACAATGCTTGAAGAAAAGGTAGGTGTTTTAGACAAAAAGCAGTAAGGATGGAGTTTCCCATAAAGAGGAGAGAGTCTGTCCAGGCCCTGAGACCTTTGAGAAGTCGAAGGATTTGTGGGACAGGAGCGTTTCTCGAGAGTGGAAGGGAAGCGTCCGCCAGGGCTGGAGAGGGAGGGCAGGTTTTTCTTCTCACAGAAGGGCAGCATCAAACCTGGCCTGGAGAAAGGTGGGAGCCCAGGGTTCTTGGGAAATTCACGTGGTAAGGCTCATCGTGAACGTGCCTGACGTCTGGCATTTCACAGCTAACCAGTTTGTTTCATAGGTGTTAGAAATGTTATCCTGTTCATAATTCAATTAAATTATCCTCATCATTCTATCATTAAATCATTTAATAAGGGCCATGTGGTTTAGTTTTAAGATATGAGAGCCCTGGGAGATATTAAGTGACTTGTCTGAAGTTAAAAAAAAAGATACAGTAAGGAACTTATTCCAAAATTCTTATCTTGATTGATTTTAAGATTAAATGTTTTCTCCCAGATTTTTTTCAGCAAATAATTGGGTGCACTGAAGAATACCGAAACCTGCCACTCCTGACGCTCTGGCTTGGGCCTGTACCCCTGGTGGCCATTTATAATGCAGAGAATGTGGAGGTGTGTAAGTGGCCAAGGTGATCAATATTCCACTGTGTATCAGAAGGCGTGAGAAGCTCATTAGAATAGACATAGTAGCTGTGCCTTTATATCTAATTGAATTCAGTACATTGAGCATTCCATTAAATATTTTAGACTATGTAGCTGTCAGCAAATCCTTTTCAGGTGCAGTCTGGATCCTCAAGAGAATAGCTTGAGGATGTACACATTTGTTATCACATCCCAATATATTTGTTTTCCCCTTTTTTTTTCAAGTCTGAAGAAGGATATTGACTAATAGAACCATGAATAGATTGTTCTACAAGGTGGGCACATGCTTTCTGCCAGGCACTGTTTTAAGGTTCCAAAAATATAAGATTAATAAAATATGACTATTTCCCTCTAGTTTTTCAGCCTCATACTATATCCATTATACATTTTTTTATTCCAAATTAATTTTCTAAAAGAGAATGCTAATCTGATAATGAAAGGGCAGATAGCATTCGTCGGTGCTATTGAAATTACTCCTCAAAAAGACTGTATACCCTTTACTTATTATTAAGACACTGGAGAGATTATTTTGTGGTTTGAGGAGAACAGGATTTGGATCAGGGAGTAAAAATGGGATAAACAGAGCCTCCCTTCATGGAACAAAATTAGAAACAGAAGTTCCTAGGGATCCGCGCTAGGGTATGTCTGTCTTTATTATTGTGGTGAAAATGTTGGCGTTTCTCTTGTATCAACTTAGCATCCTGGTTCAGAGCAGATAATGAGAGGATCAGGCCTAGGATTTCAGCCACTGCTGACTTGTAGAAGCAGATTTGATGTATGTGAGTAGAGATCTGTCCAGAGTTGGGGACTCAAGTAAGAAGCTTGGGCAGCATTTTGGGCTTAATCCTAAATGTTCATTCTTTCGACTTCACCCTGACTCCACGTGACCTGATCGTTCCCATGGCTTCCAATGTTACTCATATGTTGGAGACACTCAAATGTGTACCTCTAGCTCAAGTATTTATCCTGAGCTTCACAGCTGCTTTCAGACTGTGGCAACTTGACTGTCTCCAAGGCAACATACTTGAAAATGAACTTGTGATTTCCATCTCCCTAGGTGTGCTCACCCTCCAGTTTCACCTGCCTTTCCCCCGCTCCCCTCAATAAATGAAGCTACTTGGTTCCCGGTTCATAGCAAGTACCAGGGAATCATCAAGGACAGTTTCTTTTCTTTCGACTCCATTTAGTCCTCAAGACTGAATGAAAGTTATATGTTGAGAACTCTAATTGAATTTCTTTGAAGCTCAAGAAGGAAAATGAATCAAAGAGAAATAATGGTTATGAAATGTTGCTTTAAAAAGTAGTTGTGTTCTAGCCGGGGATTCTTATAATTGAGATCATTTTGATGTCTGTATCTCTAAATATGTTTTTTCTCTTTCTAAGGTAATTTTAACTAGTTCAAAGCACATCGACAAATCCTCTATGTACAAATTCCTAGAACCGTGGCTTGGCCTAGGACTTCTTACAAGGTATGTCAGTGGAAATTTGTAAAGCTGTCTTGTGGGAACTGTTACTTCCATGGGTAACTTGTTATTTCAGGAATTGACACAAGGTAGTAAGACTGTGCTATCAGGAAGTGTGGGAGAAGCTGGAGGGAAAAGTCCAGCTAACAATGGGCCTTTGACAGACAGGAGTCCAGGGTCTATGGGACTCTCCAGCCACTGTGTTCAATAATGGTAATCCCCAGTCTTCCAGGAAGAATGAGGAGGTAGTGAGGTATGAATGGAGTAAAGCAAAGGCAAGTTTGGAGCAGGGAAATTGTGAAAATCCAATGACAAAAGCAGTCGGCCCCAGAGAAATATATCGAGCACAGTAACTTCAGTCCTTGAGCTGCATCCAGAAATGGGTCTCCATCCGTGAGTCTTGTGGGCACTTTGGAGAATTGAAAGACCAGAGAGATTAAATCATGGAACAGGTGGATCTCTGAGGACTAAGGCACTGATAGAGCGGAGAAAAAAATTCTAATTTTGAGAACCTCAGAACTGAGAAATTGAGGAAAATTCTGAAATGTTTCCATTTTTAATGAGTGCCCTCTTATACATGTCATATAGAACAGTATCCAAAGTGTTCACATTCTGTGCCTATTCATGAGACTTTATCATTCTGACCAAAGCATTTGAGAATCTGGAGATTAGGCTGTTTCAGGAGAATTTGGTAATTTGACTATATTTATATTTTATTTGTTTCAGATGTTGCTTTTTTATTTGTAACCATGTATTGTATTTCTAGTACTGGAAACAAGTGGCGCTCTAGGAGAAAGATGTTAACACCTACTTTCCATTTTGCAATTCTGGAAGATTTCTTAGATGTCATGAATGAACAAGCAAATATTTTGGTTAATAAACTTGAAAAACACGTTAACCAAGAAGCATTTAACTGCTTTTTTTACATCACTCTTTGTGCCTTAGATATAATCTGTGGTAAGTCTCATTGATTTGTTTTTAAAGTTATGAGGTAGAGATAAAATGGCCCAAATCGGATATAACAGTTCGCGGGGGAAGGCGAATGAGGGGACAGGGAAGGACGCTGGGGTCTTCTGGGTGGTCCTGCTGCTAAATTAGCCACTTGGACTCCAGAGCCATTCACAGGACTTTGAACCGAGCAGTCACAGAGCCAACGTGCCTGGAAGGTCAGAGGGAAGGAAGGGCGGGAACTGGGATAAGAGAAGAGGGCAAAGAGCGATTCGAAAGTACATCAGACAGAACGGGACATGGCTTTTTTCAGGTGCCTTTTTTTAAGGGTCTGCCACGGGGAAATGTACATAAGAGATGCGCATGAACTGAATGGTTGCTTCTCACTGTGTTTTACAGAAACAGCCATGGGGAAGAATATTGGTGCTCAGAGTAATGGTGATTCCGAGTATGTTCGAGCAGTTTATAGGTAAATGAAGTCCTCTTGATTGTTTCTAAAATTATTATTGACTAGAGCTTTAAAAAATTATTGCTAATAATTTCTGTCTGTAGTGTTATCTTTTTCATGATTTCAAAGTGAAACATTATACTAAAAATTAACCTCATCATTTTAAGCATGTATTCTGACAGCAGAGGAATGGTTGTGTAAATTATGGCCTATCCAGATTATGCAGTGATTTTAAATGACTATTGTATAATTATCAAGAGATTACATTATGCTGTTCAGTGATAAAAGAAAGATACAAACAATTTTTTTGGTAGTTTGATTACCACTGGGTATAAGAAATTATTCACAGAAAAAAGCTAGAAGACACTACACTAAAATGTTAGCTGTGGGTACTGTGGTTTTGTGAGTGTTGTTCTCTTTCTGATTGTGTTTTGTTTTTGTTGTGATTCATTCTCCTTTCCCGTATTTCTGTACTGAGTATATAGTATTTTTTAATTGAAATGATCAACTCTACTTTTAAAATTGCTTGTGACTATTCAGCTATTAAGAGGCAGGGCCAGGATTTGACTTGATGTATCCCATCTTTAAGTCCACTGCTCATCTCACATCATTTTAATAAATATTGAGCATCTATTAGTCACTGCACAGTGTACTGACTAGTTGTGTAGGAGCACACAGAACAGACGGAATAGTAGGGGAGACAGGTGTTACAGCAGATGAATATAAACTTACACATTAGAATAATTGCTTGGAAAGAAAAGATCAAATTGATATGAGAGAGGAAAACGGGGATACACTTAACAGACGAGTGGCCAGGACAGGTGTCTTCTGGAGACTTGGCCTCAGAGCTGGTGGTGAAGGTGGAGATGGTGTCGAGGTCTGTCCGCTTTGCACTGGAAATGATGAGGGCGGGGCTCGGGAGAGCAGTGTGGCCGATGGACTTCTCTGTGGAAGTGGCAACCTGTTGTTTCCTGGCACTCCAGACGAGCGGTCAAGCACATGAGTGGACATTAAAGAGAGGCAGGTTTCGTGCCAACCTGTGGTACAAGAGCCACAGGCAGCCCGGGAAGGTCAAGGACTCTCCCTGGAGAAACAGAAGCAGAGATCAGCTGGCCGTCTACTAAGGATGTGTTATAAAGGATTCTTCATTCCTAAAAATTCCATTAAATTTTTAAGCTTCACTGGATATGTAACAACCCATGTATTCATGGTTGAGCATAAAGCTTGGCACTTTTAGCAGCCCTTCAGATTAATCACCCTCATTCCTGCGTATCACCCGGCATCAAATAGGTGCTCAAGAAATACACATTTTCAATGTATCAGCTGATGTAATTTTATCCTGTTTATAGGATGAGTGACTCGATACATCAGAGAATGAAGACACCCTGGCTCTGGCTTGACTTTTTGTTCTGTATGTTTAAAGAAGGGCGGGAGCAAAAAAGGAGCCTAAAGATCCTACATAATTTTACCAACAGTGTAAGTCCTTGTTTTTTGTTTTTTTTTCAATTGTGGTAAAATATATGCAACATAAAATTTACCATTCCAGCCATTTTAAATGTACAATTCAGTGCCGTTAAGTGCACTCACCTTGTTGTGCAACCATCCCCACCTCCATTTCCAGGTCTCTTCCAAGTCCATGATTGTTATGTTTTGTTAACATAACCTGTGAAGGACCCTGGAGCCTGCATCACATAAAATAAAAGTTGAATGGGGGGGAGGGTATAGCTCAAATGGTGGAGAGCACGCATCAAGCCCTGGGTTCAATCCCCAGTACTTCTGCCAAAAAAAAAAAAACCTAATGATAAATAGACAATGACCTCCCCCCCAAAAAATTTTTTAAAAAATAAATAAAAGTTGAATTGAAGAATAATGGGAAAAAGTAGCCAGCATGAGTACATTTTGATGATATATTCACCAAATATTAATTAAGCACTTGTTAGGTGCCAAGCACTGTACCAAGCGTTAGAAACATCACAATAAGTAAGACCTCTAGTAGAGGAGCTTGTCTATTTAAAAAAATTACAAAATGTGATACGAACTATAAACATTTGTCAACAAACAGGGTGCTAGTAAAAGAAAGAAGAGACAAAGAGCTGTGTTACAAGAGCCTTCTGGAAAATGTTTGGATTAGGCAGTCATTTTCAAAGGCAAAGGGCATTTATAGCTGTATCTCAACTTGGAAAAGATTAAAATTAACTAGATACTATGATTTTTACTCCCAGTTCAAAAATAACAAGGAGATGGTGATACCATTTTAGACACAGGATGTCAATATTATGTTAAAAATGTGTTTTCGACAAAGCAATATTTAATTTAAAATATACATTAAATTATGATTTAAGTGCACTCATAAAAGTGCCAGGTTAAATATATTCTCCCTTTGCTGTAGACTTTGGTTTAAAATATAACGGAAGTGCTTCCTGATGGCGAAGTACAGCCGATCACCAACAGATCCTGGGGCAACAAGTCAGGAGATGTCAGGTGAATGAGACGTTCGGTTGAGTTGGCCACAGGGGAGAAGAGAGTAATCTCCATGGCTGGGCAGTAGGAGAATGACTGACAGTTTGTATTTTATAACAATAATCACATTTTCCCTCAAATTACATGCATTGACATCAATATCAGTAATGAATGAATTGCAACTTGGATGGACAATATTATTCCTTTAATAAATATTGAAAATTGCACACTGAGTGCCAGGCACCTGGTGTTCCACCAAGAATGAAAGGAGATGGTTCCACCAAGAATGAAAGGAGATACGTTTTTCTGTCCTCAAAGCACTCAGGGTCTATTCATTCAAACCACTTGCTAGCAGGTTTGGTCAATTGCCTGATAGGAGAAGGAAGCTGAAATGTATAACCAAATTAAGTTTATGGGCTTTAATTCTTTTATTCATTCAAGAAAGATTGAATGAACATTCTTCAAATGTCAGGCAGTGTTCTAGAGGTTGGAATTAAATCAACGAGCAAAGACAAATCTGCTGCCACATGGATGGCATGTTGGAGTTGTGTACTGTATTATAGAGCAAGTATAATGTGGTATCAGGTGGTGAGTGAAATGGAAAAAAATAAAGTAGGGTTAGGAAGATGGTGAATGCCAGGGACCAGGTAGCGGTGATCAGGGAAGGTCTTTCTGACAGTGTGAAAAAGTGCCAAGACCTTAAAGGCAGGAGGGGAGCCAGCCATACTGGCATCTGAAGAAGGAATTCCAGGCAAAAGGAACGGCCACGCATGTAGTGTGAACTGACTGATCAACCCGCTGTTTCTTTTCTCCAGCACAACCTGTAATTAGAGTGATCTATAATTAGTCTATTGCATAATAACTGCGTTCTCTCCACCGCCTAAACTTTTTCTCATTAGCTCATTCCAATCTCTAGGGCACCATTTAGTGGACTACGCACCCTGTTGCCGAGTTGGAGATGGCAAAAATAACACTTGCGGGTTCTGAATTTGTCTGATGTGAAATTTGTTTCCAAACGGCTTATCCAAAAATGCCCTGACGTGTTAACAGGAAGCTTTACTATATTTTCACGAGAGCCTCAGTTATTGTTGAGTTAGACAGAAGACGAAAAGTTTAGGAAAAAAAATCAGTTGAAGAAGCTAGTATATTTTCAGAGGAAAATGTATTGAGGCTACGACAAATTCCAAACAAAAGCATGTGATTGTTTAAATCACACAGGTCATCACCGAACGGGCCAACGAAATGAAGAGAGATGAACAGGGTAAATGGGATGACAAGGACTTTCCGACCCGTAAAAACAAATGCCGGGCTTTTCTTGACTTGCTTTTAAATGTGACGGACGATGAAGGAAACAAGCTAAGTCATGAAGAAATTCGAGAAGAAGTTGACACCTTTATGTTTGAGGTATTTTCTATTGTCATGTTATTTTCTGGGTATCTTGAAACCAATTCCCTTTTTTTTAAATCTTTATCATTATTTTTTAAAAGTTTTTCAAAGTTTAAAGTAGCTTCACATAACTGAGGAAGAGTCATTATAATTAGAAATGAGAAAATATCAGAGCTTGGTTAAGCACCAGATCAACTTCCTTCTTCAGAAAAACCTTTTGACTCATGATGGGGACAGCAGCGCACACATCATTTTCTCAAGAAAACCTGAAACCCGTCAGACTTTTCCAAACAGAACAACAGCCAGAAAGTGCTCTCAGTTCCCTATATTGCTTCATGCTTTTCAAAAAAATCTCTGAAACCCACAAGTCTGTCCCTGGACTGTCTCCTTCCTGAAGGTCTAGCAGAGGAGCGCTTAGCTCCTGCTGGGAGCTGCCCTAACTGAAGACCACAGTAAGGCGCTCTCGCAGAGAATTTAACTAGTTTGTGATTTTCAAGGGATTTCTGGTCTTCAAATCACGGGGAAAAAGGGTACAGTTTTTACAAAAACTAACTCTAGCATTAAATGTTACAAAGAGTGAATCTCTCAATGTGTGGATTGCCAAAAAAAGATGAAGAAGTGGTTTTCAAAAGCGCCATGTGGTAAGCTGGAAGTGGAGGAAAGTGGTGGGTGGTGTCAGCTGCTCTGCCTGCAGCCATGTGGGTTCGGTGCCTGGGGCACAGCGGAGGAAGGCCAGCTGGGTCAAGGGTCCCTAGACCGAGTTCTTGTTCTGGCTCCATGCGCACTAGCTATATGAGATGGTGCCAGTCATCCTGGATCTTTGTCACACTTCCCCTATGTATAAAATAGAGAGATGAACTAGATCAGTGGTTTTTAACATCTTTTTTTAAGCAGAGCATTTTACTGAAAAGTTGTTTTATGCAGAAAATGGACATCTACATTAGCTAAAAAATGGAGAGGTGTTAAGCATGTGGGCTCTGGGGCCAAATCCCAGCTCTAACCTGTCCTAGAGGTGGGACCTCGGGCACCTCCTCCAGGCTTTCTGGGCTCCAGTGTCCTCACTGTTACAGCGTGGGCCTCACAGAATAGTTACGAGGATTAGTTTAATGACTTTTTTTTTTTTTAAGTTTAATGACTTCTTAAAGTGCACTGAGGCTCGTGCCTGGCACACAGGAAGCGTGGTACTGGCTATTAGTATTCGATGTTGAAGTGGAGAGCCTGTCTCACGTCTCCAGCCTGCGTGCCCATGCACACATACCCGTGTGCATACACACACACACACTCAAACCCACACATACACACATGTGCACGTGCACACACATCCTTCTCCCAGAAGGATGAAACCTCTCACCTTCACGAAAACAGCCAGACTAATGATCTCTTTCTTCCAGCTCCAGCATTCTTTGAAATTCTACTTTTCCTTGTCCCCGTCAAATAGGAGGCATACCACGTGTGACTGTCATCTCGTGACCCCCTCCTCGAGGCAGAGGCAGGCTGTCCCCGCCATGCCTTTCATGCCCAGGTGCCAGCCCCTCCATATGAAGGTTGCTGCCCGGCCCTGTCCCCGCACTGTGCGTCTGCAAACTTTGTGCTTTATGCTTTGCTTCATCCTGCGTTCTTCGGCTGTCAGACCGATTGAAACAGGAAGTTCAGCAGACTTCTCTGACACATTTGGATCAGACGTCCGCTTATAAATTCAAGGGAAGTTATTAAAAACTATTTAGCAAGAGCACTTCCTTCTGTGACTCTGGTAAACAACTGAGTGAAATGGGCCAGATCTTTGGAGTTCAGAGTAGTTTCGGTAAATACACAGCAAGCATGAGAAGAGGCAACGGCACACCCGTATCAGAGGCTCATCAAATATATACTTTTTTAAAAATTGCAGAATAAGTCCCAGACCATCTTAGGAGCTGGTTTATGAATCAAGTGCTTTGGAGATTTCTAGCCAAAGAAAAATGAAAACCATCACTTGTGTCACACAGGGAAGATGGAAAAGTGAGGTCTTCCATAGAAGAGATAACTTGTTTTCTCTCTAGTTCCCCTAAAAGCCTTATTCATAGAGCTATAATAGTATTCTTAATTCCCTAAGTATATTTTTTTTTCTGAAGAACTCATGTAAAAACTGTTTTTGGTCTGTTAACATTGAAAATGTGAACAGCTGTATCAAGGAGTTCATGGAGTTTCTCCGATGAAGAATGGAGTTAGTTTCTGCAGAGTACTTAGTATTTTGCCTAAAAGCTCAGGAAGTGTTACATGAGGTTTATTTATCAACTTCTTGAGGCTGTTACTCAGAACCACACGCACACTGCCGGTGTCCAGCGTCGACAGGTAAAGCCTACCTTACAGATGCTGGAAGTAGATCCGGCAAGTTGGCCCATGAAAGTCCGACATTTTTTCCCTTAAAAAGAGTCTAGAGCACCCAGTCCCCTTGGAATGCCCCCTTATGAGCACAGCCCAGCCACTTCTCGCTACGTACGCACCTCTGTACAGTGTTGAAACGTCTCTTTAAGCACGAACCTCCCCTTTGAAGGGACTGTTTTATTTGCTTGTTGGTTTCTCACCAAGGTGCAATCCTGTACCCAGTTAATTTGCTATGTTTGGAGCCACAGTGCAGCTGTCAAATCCAGAGACAGTTCAAAATAATTCTCTCTCCTAATCCTCTCAGTGAAACTCTGCTGGTAAGTCATTTTTTCCTTAACATTTGTAGGGCCACGACACAACCGCAGCTGCAGTAAACTGGTCCTTATATCTATTGGGTTCTTATCCAGAAGTCCAGAAAAAAGTGGACAATGAACTGGAGGAAATATTTGGTATGTTTGGCCCCCTCACTAGTTACACTGTGGGTACCACGTCCACCAAAGCAAATGATGTTCTTGCTCATTAAGACTATGCAGTAGGCCCTGTTCCACATAAGCCGGAAGGCTCCCACATGGGATCCCCTCCAGTACCGGTCTTCTTAGCGAGGCCTTACCCATCACGTACAGAGTACAGGTATCTGCTCATTACCTGGCATGTGACTGCCCTGGGGTGGATGCTCGGGAGGCCCAGATAAATGTGATTGTCAGGGGTCTCACTGCATAACAGAGGAAGCAGACATATGTATGCAAAGCATCGAGTCATGGCTGTGTGCTTGAGTGATGTGAAGAAGGTGCTATTTGTGAGCAGAGAGGAGCAGGTGACATTAGTTCAAGGGGTCCAGGAAAACTACTTCATACAGCATTGCATATGGCCACAGATGAGTGAAAACGTGTGTAAAGCTGATGGGATGTGAATTTCTATTACACAACCACTAATACGCAGGTGAACAGTCCTAGATGATGTCAGTAGTGATGTCATCCGAGTCCCAGCACCCGGAAGGAACCCCGTCCTATTAATCAGCCACTCCACTCCCCTTTTCCCCACACCACTGGCAACCGCAACTTTGCTGTCTGTCTCTAAGGATTTACTACCTGTTCGGAGTACTTCCTACAAATGGGATCTCACCAGTTGTGACCTTTGGTGTCTGGTTTCTTTTACCAAACATGTCTCATTTTATTTTGATTATGGGTAATAGGAATCCTCCTTTAGCTGTAGGTTTTTAACATTCAGCGTTTTGATGAGTGTATTCGCTGACGTCCCATCCTCCAAGCTCAGATAATTCTCTGATTGCTTATCCCATGCATTTACTTAAAACCAGGGAAGTCTGATCGTCCTGCTACCTTGGAAGACCTGAAGAAACTTAAATACCTGGAATGTGTTATTAAGGAGAGCCTTCGCCTTTTCCCTCCTGTTCCCTTCTTTGCCCGTAATCTGAATGAAGACTGTGACGTTGGTAAGGATTCTATCGTTTGAATAGTAGGGACAGCAGATTATTTTAATGTCTGTCTTGCCCCATCCTCATGGCTTATGTTCTACTTCCTGACAGGGGGTTACAAAATTGTGAAAGGCTCTCAAGTAATCATCGTGCCCTACGCACTGCACAGAGATCCAAGATACTTCCCTGATCCTGAGGAATTCGTGCCAGAACGGTTCTTGCCCGAGAACTCGAAAGGACGCCATTCGTACGCATACGTGCCCTTCTCTGCTGGACCCCGCAACTGTATAGGTTTGTATCCGTCAGAACAGGTGTGACCTTTCAGACTCACAAAAATTTCTTGAGATGTGGTGTCTCACGTGCAACAATCTTTTAAAAAACTGGCTCCCTTTTCCCCCCACTTTACTATACGTGATTATTTTAAAATACGGCTGTCATAAAGTGTGTTCGTTTGCGAGGGCAGCTGTAACAAAGTACCACCCTCGGTGGCTGAGACCACAGGAACTTAAATTCTCCCAATTCTGGAGGCTCAAGGTCCAAGATCAAGGTGTGAGCCGGACTGCTTTCTTTGGAAACCTCTCCTTAGCTTGTCAATGGTCTTCTCCTTGTGCCTCCACGTGGTCTCTCCTGTGTGTGTGTCTCTGTCCTAAACTCTTCTCTTCATAGGGACACCAGTCAGATTGGGTTAGGGCCCACCCATAAGACCTTATTTTCATTTAATTACCTGTTGAAAGGTCCTATCTCCAAATACAGTCATACTGTGAGGTACTGAAGTTCAGCACTTCAGTGGATGAATTTGAGGGAGACACAATTTAGCCCATAGCACAAAGCCTCATCAGCGTCAAGGCAGAGTTTGAAAATGTTGTAGCTTTTGGATTCAAACAGAATATACGTCTATGGTAGACAACTTATTTATAACGATTACATTGAGCCTCATTTCTGTGTGTGTTGCTTTTCAGAATTGCATTTTGCAAAACCAAACCACAAAATGCTTACCACAGGGCCAGCTGAAGTGCTTGAACAAAATGAAGGCACATCACCGTGCGTTATAAACACTCTTGGCTTTAGAATCTCTAGCATTTTATCATTTATGCAAATGCAGGCATTTGTAAAATCAGGCCAGGTTTAAATGGATGAACCCGAAGCAGATTTAGTGACTCTGTAGTAAATTAAAGACCCAAATAAGAAAGCAATCTGGAGTAGCGATTCTCATGCTTGAATAGCCCAGGATCCACCTGGGGTTTTGCAAAACTACAAATACCTGGCCCACCCCAGCTACTCAGACGCGCTGGATGGCAGCAGGTAAGGGCACTCACGAGTCTTCATTTTTAACAAGCATCCGAAGTGATTTCGATTCTCTCGGGGATCCTTGTGAAAACATAAAACTGCTTGCTTCCTCTAGTAGAACTTGTAGTTTCTCACATTTGAGATATATCTATCATTAAAATGTTGGTGTTTACATTAATTTGAAGGTCAAAAGTTCGCCATCATGGAAGAAAAGACCATTCTTTCTTGCGTCCTGAGGCATTTCTGGGTAGAATCCAACCAAAAGAGAGAAGAACTTGGTCTGGCCGGAGAGCTGATTCTTCGTCCAAGTAATGGAATCTGGGTCAAGTTGAAGAGGAGGAACACAGATGAATCCTAACTGTGTAATTGCATTGAGCTGTGCTCTTATCATAAAAAGGGTCTTTCTTTGAAGGAAACCTTCCATTTACAATTTGTAGGTCATGAATTCAATACTCTCAATCCCTTGACCTAATTTTTTCTTGTTCCTACTTAACCTTGGGGTCAAGTCTACCAAAGAAGAGTTTTATATTCTCATCACCACCAGAGCTCTTACCCCTGGTCTTGATCCCATAAGTAGAGTCCACTGATGACTGTACCCAAATACTTCCATAACAAACTTCCCAACAGAGGCATCCACAGGCCAAGTCAGTTTCAACCAACAGACCCAAAGGGTGTAATCTAATTGAAGCTCCAGAATATTTTTAAGGTATGCTTGTTGACTTGGGAATACACATATGCATGTATATATATACATTTAATTTAAAAAGGGTGAATAGTTTAGTGTTTAGACTTAAGGAGCTTAATTTTTAAATATTATATCAGTGGCATCAGTTATGAGAAGAATAATTGTTATGGTACCTCTCAGATTTTATCACCTACAGTAGATCATTGGACTGTGCACTTACAGACTTCCTTTCATTCCTCAGAGCATCACAATTACCTTTCTATATCATTTGTTATTGGGAGAGGTTCCTGTTGGTAATCTCTAGCCCCTCACTGTGTCTCAGGGAGTTGATGAACGGCTTTTGGAGCTGGAAGGCGCTTAGAGCATCGGGCTCTATCTGTGAGTTCTGCATCCTCAGATTCAAACAACTGCTGATTGAAAATATTAAAAAAAAAAAAGTCCAGAAAGCTCCAAAAAGCAAAACTATTTACATAGCATTACATTGTATTTACAACTATTTACATAGCACTTACGCTGCATTATGTATTGTAAGTAATCTAGAGGTGATTTAAGGTCTGTGGTTGGATGTGCTTATCCATATGCAAACACTTCTCCATTTTATGTAAGGGACTTGAGCATCCATAGATTTTTGGATCCGTGGAGGGTCCTAGATCCAATCCCTTGCGGGTACCAAGGGATGAATGTACTACTGCACTCCCTTTTATTAGAAGGAAGGGAATGAAATGAAAGGGAAGGCAAATTTCTGCTGAAAGCCATGCCACTAGTGGGTGACAGGGCTGAAAACAGAGGTCTTTACTCTAAGTCTCTCCACTCCCAATATGATGACATGTCTACAACACGCTCTTGCTTAATGGAACTCAGGTCTACAACTAGATGTGTCATTAAAACACAGACCTTCTGCCTCTGATTTTGGAATAACTCTTCTAGAATTCTTCCATTGTTAAAGGAAAAGAGAAGCCATCCATCTATTTTAAGTAACCAAGGAATATCTCCCTTAGTTTGGCATTAGACTTCCAGTAAATTCAGTCCTCCAGGATATGCCTGTGAAGCTAATAATTAACACCCATTCCCTGAATTTTAATGCTACAGACGGTAACTCTACTCTCTCAGTACCTCTAAAAAACTTTTTAATAAATAATTTTAATAAAATTGTTTCTTTAATTTTTCCAAGGTGATAGCTGATATAAACAACAAATTAAGAGGATAGAATAAGTATCCTTCAATGGATATCAAAGAAAGGGGTTATGAAACCAGGGCCATTTGGGAAGCACCGCAGGCCGGGGCAATGAGGACAGGGGCGGCATCTCTATCCACTTTAATATCCCAGAGAGCCCAGTGTATTCAAGCCAGTCCCTAAGCTGATGAGAAGCCAAGGAAATATACAATGGGAAAAGGCTCCCATCCCATCGTGAACCTTGTTATCTAGGAAGTGGACATATGCAGAAAATCTTGTTCCCAGATGACTTTGGATAATTGGACTTTTATTTGTGGAAATCAGTCTTGTTTCTCAATTTTTTGCACTTACATTTAAACCTTGTTTGTTTTTTTAAAGTGACTCTACATTAGATGTGAAATTAAATGTAAAGTAAAACATTGCTAAATGTTACCTTTTGGCCTCAAAATCTTCATTTAGCCCCAGAATAATCTGTTATTCATGTTTTAATTGGAAATTCTCTGAAACACTGTCAGAGTTGGAATTGAGAAGTTATGTCATCATTTGCAGAATGGAAATGCAGATGCAGACTTTTTTTAAATAAAAGGATGATCAAATATGTGTTCCTATCACAATTACCTTGTCTTACTCCTTCCTGAAAGAGCTATCTCCAGAAAAATAAATCACACTTCAAACGTGGGTGCTACGAACTGATGTCAGTCTGAAACACGGATAACTTTAAAAGATAAGTTAGTGGGTGACTGACTCACAATATAATAAAAGAAGCACTTCTGAGCTGATGTCATCAGTATTACTCGGACGTTCCAACAAAATGATCCTCACACTGTTATCACAGACTGATTTTGAGTTTCCCTTGCTCTGAAGAATAGAGGAAAAGTAGAAATACCAGAACGTTTTGCTCAGCTGATAGCAACAAGTAAAATCTCTTCAGGCTACCTGGGAGCCAGCAAAAATGATAAGCATCACTGAGTCCCAGAGATTTACAGTCTAGAAACCTCTCCAGGTAATGCAGACAACCAAAGCATGTCCATTTCTGAATCAGCTGACCGGTGTCACAAAGAGATACTGGTCACAAAAAGGTCAATGTTCACTCTGGAATGTACCTAGAAGATCAGCTGTATTTACCTCCAGCATCGAATTAGATGCTAATAGATACACTTAACTTTGATCTGCCTGGAAACCCCCTTTTTCTAGGAACAGCACCCTCTTTATATTTGGAACTATCCTGTCACATCCCCGCCTTCTGTTCTCCTCCTTTCCTTTTGCTTCTTCAAAACACACCTCACCTGCTGTAAATAGTGGTTCTAGAGCCAGCAATGGAGCGCATCCTTCCTGTCCAATTGCCTTCACACTCTGAATCTCTCGGACTTCTCCTGTGCAAACAGCAGAAGAAAACTTTTTAAAGGGGTCATGTGACGAGACTAAGCCCACCCAGATAACCCCCACTGTGGTCAGCTCAAAGCAGACCCGATCAGACTGCAAAACTCTTGACCTGTAACATAATATAAGCATGGACAGAATACCCTATCTTCTTCAATATCCCCATCTTCCTGGGATTAGATTGGAAAATCCTGGGGAACATTTTAGAATTCTTCCTGCCACTGCCTCTTTTCAGCTTCATTCCAATTTGGTTCTTCTGGAGCCACAAAGGAATTTTTTCATTTTACTTTATTGCTAGAACATAACTTACGTTCCACTGTTAGAAAAATTCAAAAGAAACACAGGAATCTATTTAAACAGGTTAAAATTGGTAATCGCACCTTTTAGGGAAACAACTTCTGAGAATTTCTGCTGTGATTTGGAGACAGAGTAGTTTTTTCCCCAGATCATCTTTTATTTCTGTTGAGGCTGGTGGGAGTTGAAATCCCAAATTTAAATTCTATAATACTGCACAAGCCAGGAGATTGATTCCCTTTTGCTGTTTGCTGGAGTACCAGTTGATACCCTCAATCTAAAATCAGGGCAGCATCAATATTTGAAATATGCTACTTCCATTACAGCCAGAAAATATTTTATTGGCAACATTATCCTACATTTTTAGATGAACACAGTTCTGCATGGTAGAAACACGCATTAAATATTTACTGAAGAACCAGCTCCCTAAAAATCTAATTTACTAGCCAGAAAGATGTACTGCATTTTTTGAAGAATAGTTAGAAAACAAAGGAGCTTTAGTGGGCAGGGGATTACAGTCTTTAAATATTTTAAAAAGCACAAAAAGGAGAATAAATTATTTTGTGTGGATTTAGTAAGTCAATCTAGGAATGACGGATAAATGTGGCAAGGAGGTCTTGGGGAGACTTTTTCTTAAAAATAAAAATAAAAGAGAAACCCTTAAGCAGGAACAGGCTCCTGGGAAAGCCAGGATGTTTCTTTCAGGTTGAAGTATCCTGACAGAAAAGGCTAAACTCTTATGCTAGGAGCGCCATGCAGCAGGTTTTAGCCAACTTTATCCGAAAGGGGGCAGTTGGTAAATCGCCTCAGGTTTACACGCCTTACTGTCTCTGTCACGACTATTAACTCCGCAGTTGTCGGGTGAAAGCAAGCATGGATAATACAGGAATGGATGGACATGACTGTGTCCCAATAAAACTTTATTTAGAAAAACAGGCACTGGACCAGATCTGGCCTGTGAACAGTGGTTTGTCAACCCCTGCTCTGTCTTATTTCCTGAACTGGCTGGGAGAAAGACCTAAACATTGACCGAGTCCCTTCCATATTTAAAACATCAGTGGAATAGGATACAGGAAGGCATGGGTATCATTTGCTAGAAGATCCTTCCAGGATGAGCTAGCCACCCCTACCCCTTATTCGCTTGTGTCGCCAGGTCATTATGCTGGAAAAACTCAGATGAAATGTATCATGACCCCAAATAACTGCGAATGTTATGGACATTGTGAAAAAGGAAAACCCTGTGCATGAATTGTGTGGCCCTATCATGAAATAGTTAATATATTAAATAGCTGAATGGGACATTCATAGAATATGTTGACAGGACAAAAAGTTGAAACCGCTGGCAGAACACCAAAGTCAATATCGGAGCCAAGCAAATACACCCATAGGGCCGCGCTGGGGAAGCTTGAAGACCGGCCATCTTTAAGTGGCAGGAGACACCGTCACCTCCAGAACCACGGAAGCAATTGCGCTTTCAGGTACAGGATTTCTATTACTCTGATTGCTTCCAAACGTGTGGTGTTTTTTTTTTCATTAAGCATTGTTTTTACTTTATGAAGAAGCTATAAGTTGATGTTCTAATTTCCTGTGTATTTAGAGAATGTAGAAGGAACTGATGTTCTTAAATGAGAAAAAATTTAAGTGGGCGGTATTTTTAAATCCAAGAGAATACTGATGGATTCAAAATTTTCAGATGGGCTTGAATATTTTGAATATCTCTCCATAGGGATTCTGTGTGGACACTATTGCCATGGTTTACAATAATTTTCTTTTTGCTCACATCAAGAGGTTTCACAAGTGTTTAATTCCCTTCTACCAATCCCCTTTCCATAATTACCAAGAACATGGGAGCCAAGTGAACAATAAACACAACAGGAGTCTAGAGGTCTCAGTTTGTAGCTTGAGCCAAGTCCTTGGGTACAAAAGGCACAGAAAAACCCTTGCTTTCTCTACTGCTAATGGTGGGCTTAGATTTGCAATTCAGACATGGATGAGGAAATCTACATCACCCTAAATTAAGGTTCGTGTTAAATACAATCTACAACCAGCAGAGTTTTGCATGTGTTGCTTTCTCTTTTAGGATGATTTCGCTCAGGCAAGCCGCTTATTTCGTTTGCTTGTTTGCTACCGTTTCCTGCGGTGAGTGGATTACCTTTAAGACATGAAGTTCAGGGAGCATGGGAGAGAGGTACTTAAGCCAGACGTCCACTGCTCAGGACACATATCCTTTTCAGGTTCAGCACTAACGGCCACTTATCAGATGCAATGCCCTAAAGACACCAGAGGGAGGAGCCAGAAGTGAGAATGTCTTGGGCAGGTGTTAGTGGAAACTTCTGTTTGGAAATGACTCTCTACAAAGCATGTCTTAGAGCAGTCAGCCCTCTATTTTTAATTATCAGTATTTAAAAAATCAACTTTATCTGAATGTTCAAAAAGAGTGTTAGGCATTTTACAGTGTCTGGGACAACAGGTACACAGCACACATTTTCACTCTTTCAAGCCTCTAGGGAACCATTTCAGAAATGAAATTACCTGATTTATATTTAATTTAGTAAACTGGCCATTGAATGGTTTGACTTCCAGCATCAGGTTTTGATCTTGTTTCCCTTTCTATCCATTCCATTAGATTTTCAGAGAACAAGGGTGATGCCGGACACTGTTTTTCATTAATTATCTTCCAGAAAGGTTATTCCCAAGTTGACTTTTTCCACCAGCAGTTGAGAGTAATCATTTGCCCCACTTTGGTCAACGCTAAAAATCATCTACTTTTTTTGTCGGCCTGGTACAGATTCACCTTTAAGAAAACAGCACCCTAATTTACTCTGGGAACAGCTGCCTCCCAGTCTGGGTCCAGGTGATTGTGACCCAGGCAGGGCTGGACCAGTGAGTGAGGGCACGCATCCTGCCATCTGCAGTGACCTGACCAGCACCAAAGCCTTCCAACGTCTTTTTTTTTAACATTTTTATTGATTTATAATCATTTTACAATGTTGTGTCAAATTCCAGTGTTCAGCACCATTTTTCAGTCATTCATGGACACATACACACTCATTGTCACATTTTTTTCTCTGTGAGTTATCATAACATTATGTGCATATTTCCCTGTGCTATACAGTGTAATCTTGCTTATCTATTCTACAATTTTGAAATCCCAGTCTATCCCTTCCCACCCTCCACCCCCCTGGCAACCACAAGTCTGTATTCTCTGTCCGTGAGTCTTTAGATTCCACATATGAGCGATCTCATACGGTATTTTTCTTTCTCGTTCTGGCTTACTTCACTTAGAAGGACATTCTCCAGGAGCAACGTCTTTTTTTCCCAAATGGACTTGAATTATGTGAGAATACAGAGGCCTGAGTTTCTGGCATCATCTTGCCACTATGTGGAACTTGAGAACAAAGACAGCACTTTGGAACAGAGCAGAGATGTGAAGACAACTAAATTTTGCCCGACGGGATCAGCTGAGCCCCACCTCCAGTTACTCCTGAAGCCAGATCCACCAGGGGCTCTTTGGCTTCCGAACCAACACATTTAATTTGTACTCAAGTCACTTTGAACTAGGTTTTTAAAACAATCATTTTCATCTAAAACCAGTACATCGACGCAGGTTAATTTAAAATATTTGCTCACTTGGCGCGTAACATAGCACCTAGTTGTTCTAACTGCCTGTATTTACGATTCTTACCATTTTTCGTAGACTTACGAGTGGCTTGTATTTCTTTTGCAAATTGCCTTTTCATATCCTTCACTCAAATTTTAAAAATTAAAGTGCTTTTTTTCTCCTTATTGATTAGGCAGTTTTTAAACAAGACTGAATAACCTGCCCGAAGTCCTTGGACACAGGGGCCAGTGTGACAATAGAACAAAATATTTTATGTTATGCGACAGTTTACTTAACAGTGCGGTACATGCACTCTCACATAGAACACAAACAAGCCTATTGTCATCATCATGACCACCATTGTCATCAGTACCAGCTTAAGAGGATAAGCAAGACCACTTCCTAGAACTTGCTTCTTGGTCCACTCCAAAGTTGGTCCGTTTCTAGTCAGCAGAGACACATGGCAATTCACAAAGGCTCAACTGCAGCGTGGAAACTCCCAGGCTAGCACCACCATTGTCTGGAGTCTTGCTTCTGCATGGGGATGGGGGAGGATGGCTGCTTGATAATTATGAATCAGCCAAAAGCACCAATTGTCTAAAACACAGACCACTTTGCAGTTAGGGTTGTCACTGGATCCGCTACCCAGTGTTTGTGCATCCAGGAAATCTAGGCTGGTACACTTGGCAACTTGCATTCCCAGGAGCTTCCACCTGAAGCGATCTCTGCTCTTTCTGAAAATGAACCTCATCCAAGGCTTAGTCATCTTAGCCGCACCTCTGAGAGGAAGAGAAGCAACCTGCTGGGCAGGATAGCGCAGAGAAAATTTTAATCTTCAGTGCTTAATGAAATGCATGTGTCTTAGCTGCCCATTTTCTGAAAGGCAATATAAAAATGCTAAAACTGAAGTGTGTTTATTGCCCTTGGGGATGGACAAGGTTGTCGTTGGAATATCCTGTGGTTAATGAACTGCTGACCAACTAAAGTGAATGGTCTTTGGAAAAGCTTATTAGGCAGACTTTGAAGTGGGCCTTTCGAGGTAACCCCAAATGCATGTGTTAAAGTGTTATCTTTAGTATATGAAACCGTAAACGTGAAGGTAACACTTAATATTCTAATAATATGTGGGAAACAGGGTACTTAAGAGCTGTGAACAGTTCTAAACAAATGGTTCAAAATGTATTTTCAATTTGGTATATTCATGCATTTGCTTAAACCATCTAAAAACTGAGCTTGTAGGCATCGAGCAAATATTGCCTCCTTTGCACTCATTTCTAAAGTAATAAATACTCAATTACCACTAGATAGCTTGAATTAAACTGAAATGAGGAACAACGTTTAACACTGCAAGCAAGAAAAAAGACCAAGATTGGGAGTCAGAGGAGTTGGGTTTATGTCCCAAGACATTCATTAGCCGTGTGGACCTTGGGCAAGTCTGCATTGCCCTGAGACTCAGTTTCTAACCTCTTTCTTAGAAACAAACAAACAAACAACAAACAAAAACTCAAGATGCATGTGCTAAACCTATCTCTAGCCTCCCTTACAGAGCTATTGAGGGAATCCAGTGAGGATGTTTGTTGTGAAAGAATTTTGGAAAAGAGATCATACATCGCTATTTTTAATGCAAGTTTCAGAGCATGTTAGAAGACAGGGAGAAACTGAGCTAAGATTGCATTTTGGGGAATAATTTATGTACAGAATTGCATGATTAATAAAAATCAACTAAGTTTTTTATACAGGAGTTCCCATAAAATAACCGTAACATCATACATCAAATCTTAACGTTTCATTCTGCCTCTGTAATTAGTCATGTCATAAAGATATTCCATGGATAAAGTAAGAAGGTTCAGAACACAGATGCATTTCTTTTGAAAGTATTATTTGCACTTGTTCCAAATTGATGTGTCTTTTTTTCAATGACTATATCACAGGGTGTTTGACTCAACTGTATAAAAACACCTTCTTCCGAGGCGGGGATGTATCCGCCGTGTACACCCCGAACGCCCGGCACTGTCAGATGATGTGCACCTTCCATCCCAGGTGTTTGCTATTTAGTTTTCTTCCTGCGAGTTCCACTCGTGACACAGACAAAAGGTAAAAGTTGATATTTCATTGCTGGGGAAGCCAGTCATTTTTCAAAATGGAATCAGTTGTGTGCAAAAAGGTAACGTATAGCCAGGTTGTGTTTCTCGAAGGGGGTTCAAGGACCAGCCTCTGCGGAATCCCCTGGAGTGGTTCTTAAATAAGCGATTCTTAGGCTCAAGTCCAGACCTACTGAACCAAAGTCTCTTGAAACTGGGAGTCTGTATTTTAAGGAATCACTGTATTCACTTAAAATAGTAGAAGGTGGTCTTTTTCTATCCAAGACCTCAAGGAAAACACTTGAAAAGCACCGCGCTAAGAGGGTATCTCAAGAAAGGGTCTAATAATAGGTGGATATTTCACCTGAAGGAGAAATGTACTTGCTGTTCTGACCCCTGATCACGTGTGTGGATAGCACAGTCCTAAGAAGACACGGTTGAAAGCAAGCACTTTATTGAGAATATAATTAAGACCCAGAGCTTGTAACCTTGGGAGAGGTTAGGTCTGAATGTGCCTATAGTGAGCCAGCTTGGGCACCGATGGCATGCAAGGCGTGTGTGTGCCTGCATATGCGTGTGTGTGTGTGTGGCCATGGATATATACTATTAACTGGTGATTTGGAAAAGTAAGAGAATTTGAAAAATAGTTGGTAATTAAAAATCTTGTTTGGTCATAAATGTGCCTAGCTACAACCCTAGTTTCATTCATTTTAATCAATATCCAGAATGAATGTTTCTTCCTTGTTCCCATTTCCATGTCCATAATTCTTTTCTTTTATCTTTACCTTGTTTGAATTTAAAAACTAGGAATTAACACAATTAACACAATCATCCCCTGATTCTACATGTTAAACTTGCACAGAAAACCCAGACTATATGTGAGAGGTAGTAACTCTTCATGTAAAAAGTCGAGTTAGGTTCCAAACCCTTGTGAATGATGAAATGACATTAAGGTTGACATTAAAGACAGAAAGCAGTCTTTCATTAGGTGTGGACTAGAAGGAGTTAGTAACCAAGATGAACACCATATACAGATGCAACTCTCATGACTGATTTCATTTCTTAAGTAAATGAAAGTATTTATAAATATAATCACCAGGTGGGAACATAATTCCTCTAAAGTTTGGAAACACAGGAAAAATCATTATTTCTTTAATATGACTGACCTTCTGTACTTCAAACTGTGAATGTAAAGGAAAACAATGCTGAAGTTAGGTAGTTCAAAGACCGTTAGATATTATGGAACCGCCTCTAAGAATGTCCTCTACAGCAGGTGTCAGGGAAAGCTATATTTATGAGTGTATAAAAATGCTAGACATTCCTCAATGTATGTTTATTATTCTACTTCCTAAGTGAAGCTACTTTTAAAAACAGGTTTGGTTGCTTCTTGAAAGACAGTGTTACAGGAGACCTGCCAAGAGTGTCACGGACCAGTGCAATTTCTGGACATTCCTTAAAGCAGTGTGGTCATCAAATTAGTGGTAAGGTGTGGATTTCTGAGCTAAATTTGAACGGAGGATGGGTCTGCCTTAGAACAGCTTCTGCACAAACTCTGTCCTGCCACGGACTTTTGGAAGGGAGCCCCCAGAAAGATAACAGAGGGGGTCTGACTCTGGACAGATCCTCTTGTGTTTATCAGCCATCACATGCTTAAGGAGCCGCTATTATTTATGGTGTAAGATGTACAGAGAGTGAATACACATTCAAACAATAGTCTCCCCTTGATTCCAGATAAGAACCTTAAAGAAAACACAGAGGGCATCTCTCTCTCTCTCCCGGTTTCACTCCAGGGTAATTTGTACACTAGCGGTTCTCAGTGGTTCTCAACCCCGCGGGATTTTCTCCTTCCACCAGGGGGCGCTTGGCAGCGTTTGGAGACATTCTGGTTGTCGCAGCTTTGGAGGATGCTACACTAGGGGCCAGAGGTCAGAAATGCTGCTAAGCATTCTTCAAGGCACAGGGACGCCCCCTCGACAAAGATTTCCTAGTCCCAAATGTTCATAGTGTCGAAGTTAAGAAGCCCCATTAAGCCCCCAAACTGAAAAACTGGACTCTGTAAATCTTGCCAAGAATAGCACATCTTAGGGGAAAATGTGAGGACTGGGAGGCCAGGAAACTAATTCTGACGCTTATTCCTACTAATGTCTTGGGAAACAATTTCCCACACTATGCTAATCACTTTAAGGCAAATGAACTCCTTCTCTAACCTGACTGACCTGCAAGTGCAAAGTGCTGAAAAGGCTCTCTCAATCGATGGGGTGACAGAACCTTAAAATAGCCATGGCAGCACTATACACCACTGCTATTTTACCTTTACTCTGAACAGGTAACTGCGTGGGCTTACATTTCAGATGTTTTTAAATTTTTCATCCTTTTCCCCCTCCAGTAACACCTCTCCTTCAACACACACACATTGTACCTGCAGTTTGCACAGTAACCAGCCCTTAGTTCTAAATACGGGGGCCTGGCTTAGTCAGTATATACTTTAACTGAGGAGTACTTTTCCTATTGTATAAGATCAAATTTATCTCCTAATACAGATTAGTGTAAATGATTCAATTAAATGTTATTTTCAATTTGATATCATAGTAAAATTTAGAGAAAAAATAATATCTGCCTTTCTCCATACTCCTTAGTTATTGTCCCCCCCCCCCAGACTTAGTCTACTCACAGAACTTCATCTAATGTTCCCTTCTACCTCTTCCCAAATATCTTGTGAAATTAAAGCGAAAACTTGCTCCCGGGCACATAAAGCCTCTAAACTCAGGACCCATTTTAGTTTAAAACATTTCGAGGGAGGTTTATAGCTTTCAATTAACCATTGAGAAAAGTTTTTAAGAAGTATTCCATCCCAACTCCCAGCCTGTCTCTTTTTTCGTGTAAAGCAGAACTGGCCAGAGATTCCTTTTCTATAACCTGCAAGCACCTGTCATCATTCTTCTGTTCTTGTTTATCCTCCTCCGCTCATCAATAATTCCATCGTGAACTATTAGCTGTATTGCTGCACAAGCTTCGCAGTTTTGGAAGTAAACGAGCCCCCTTTCCATGCTAGTCCTCTGAAACATATTGGAATGTATGTATTTCAAGCAGAGTTTGATAATGTAGGGCTATAATAAAACTCTAAATCTCCTAATTAATAACAGTTACCAAAAATGGAATACTAGTCTTCAAAACTACTCCGCCCAAATTGGTTTACTTCCATAAGAGAAAGTGACGGAATTTGCTCTATGTGTTTTATTTGCACAGCGTGCCACCGAGACATTTATAAAGGAATTGATATGAGAGGAGTCAATTTCAACGTATCTAAGGTTAAAAGTGCTGAGGAGTGCCAAAAAATGTGCACGAACAGCATTCACTGCCAGTTTTTCACATACGCCACGCAAACATTCCACAGTGTAGACTACCGGTGAGTAAAATCCATAGCGTTTGTTCTTTCTGATGGTGTTTTTAGTTCTTATTTATTTACTCAATTTTGATGCCTTTTTCTCTGAAGAGAATAATTTCCGTTTGGTCCGCAAATAGGCTGTGCTTGCGGAATGAGGGTTTAGCAGAATAACGTCTTGTCGAAGGATGTGTCCCACTGCATTCTCACTTTAACCATCCTTCTGCAGAAGACGTCTCTTTGATTAATAACCCAAATCCTTAACCCATTCAATACTGAGGTCATCATTCCGATTGCTTTGTTTATCTTCCACTGACCCTGGACCATTTCAACTTGAAATGGACTTTTACACGCACCTTGAACTTTAGGAAGCAAAGTAAACTCTGTTTTTCCCATTCAGGAACAGCTGCCTATTAAAGCACAGCCCGAGTGGAACACCTATGAGCATAAAGGTGCTGGCTAACGTGGAATCTGGATTCTCACTGAAGCCCTGTGCAGTCTCAGAAATCGGTAATTATATGGCTACTATTACTGTGAGATTGTAGTGGACAGAATGGAAGCTCCTCAAAGATGTCCTAATGCCTGGAACCTACGAATATGTTAACTTACACGAAAGAGGGGGCTTTATTGAAAATGTGATTACGTTGAAGACTTCGGGATGGGAGCTTATTCAGGATCATAGGGATGAGTCCGGTGTAGCCACAAGGGTCCTTATAAAAGCAAAAGGAAGCAGAAGGATCAGAGTCAGAGGGAGAGAGAGAGATCTGAAGAGGTTACGTTGCTGGCTTTGAAGATGGAGGAAGGGTTCACAAGCCAAGGAGTGGCCTCTAGAACCTGGAAAAGGCAAGGAAACAGGTTCTCCTCCAGAGCTTTGCAAAGGAACAAAACCCTGCCCATGTCTTGATTTTAGCCCAATTAGACCCATTTCAGACTGTTCGACTTCTGATCTCCAGAACTGTGAGATGACAAATTTGTGTGGTTTGAAGGCACTGTGTTTGTGCTAATGTGTTATAGCAGCAATGGGAAATCTGTACAGTGATTTGTAGAAAGACTGTAAGGTCATTTCTTCGTGGAATCCATTGTCGAGTGAAATAGCTCCAGCATAATGATTCAACGAAACCTTATAGTTCCAGACATAGAAGTAATTTTAGTTGAATTTTCCAGAAAAATTGCTTTCACGTTCTACCTTATTTAGCGTATCAGGGTGTCAATGATAACATGCTATTGAAACCAAATTACCAATAGCCACTTCTACATAGTATCAAGTGCCGGCTCCGTGCCAAGTCCTGTATGGGGAGCCCCCTGGAAGACTAGGAAGTTGGCAACAGTACATTGCTCTTCCTATTTGTGCCCACTCCCCACAGGCACACCTCCTCCATGCTGTGCACCGGATTTACTGGTTCAAATTAACTGATTATTTAATTTTTTAATAGTCAGATTTGATTCCTTTTATAAGTATAGTTTCTATTTCTATTTGGTGAGACATTGTTTTCATACTTTTCTTCAGTTCTTTAGACAGGGGTTTCCTTTAGTTCTTTGAACATATTTAAAGTAGCTGACCCAAAGCCTCGGTATAGTAGCCCAAAGTTCGTGCTTCCTGAGCAGTGGTTTATATGGGCCTTTTATTCTGTGTATGGGGCACGCTTCCTTGTTTCTTTACATGTCTTAACAATTTTTTGTTAAAAAAAAATTAGGTCTTTTAACTAATAGCATGTGACAATTCTGGAAATGAAATCCCCTCCTTTCCCAGAGTTTTTGTGTTGTTGTTACCATTTTGTGTTGTTGCTGCTGTTTGTCTGGTGGCTTTCCTGAACTAATTTTGTACAGAGGTTAGCCTTCGCTGTGTATAGCCACTGATGTCTCTGCTTGGTTTTCCTAGTAGTTAACTAATGACGGGACGGAGGTTTCCGTTAATGCCTGGATCCGACGAGCTGCCCAGCCTTTCACCAAGGGCTTTTTGGGAGAGCTGGGGAGGGCATGCCTTCAGTGCTCGGGCGGGGATTTTACAGTTTTTCCCTGGCCTTCACTTTCTGCTGACACAGAGCTCACAGAGGTCAGCATCAGCCAAACTGAGAGCTCAGGGCCTTCTCGGAAACTTCACGGGCACATGCACAGCCCTGGTTACACACACAGCTCTGTACGCGCACACGGCTTCTAGAGTCCCCGCAGTGTGTCAGAGATCTTCACCCTGCCCCCTGGTTTTCCTTTCAAGATTTTTATTGGCTTGTTGTCTGTCCCAGCTGTTACTGTTGCCTTAGGCAGCTGCAATGATATGTCATTGCCACAATTTTTTTTGACAAACATTTCCAAGGAAAAGGCTGCTAACACCGAGGAAGCGCTGAGTCAGGTCAGATAAACTCAATCCTTGCAAGTGGGGTTTTCCTGAGAACTTCCACAGAGATCATGTAATAACTATTTGGGGACAGAGCTTTGGAGTAGCCCCAACTCCGTTCTGCCCCTTCCAGGCGCTGCTAGATTGCGGATTTTCACTGTGATTGTGGGGCTGTTGCCAGGGTTTCCGTGGAGCTTCCATGTGGGGTTCCAAAACACCACATGACTTGCTGTTCTTATGGAGATTTGGCTGTTTGTCTTCAATGAACACTCCCTGGACCGTTATAAACCTCTGGTTAATTTCTAGAGTTGAGATGTTGATTTGGACAGTGTTCTCCGGGCTCTCACTACTTTCATGGAGGAGAGGACTTCCGGAGGTCCTTACTCTGTCCTTCCCACTAACGTCCTGATAAACAAAACGAATGAAAATCAAACTAGCTCTAAAAAAGAAAATGGTCTTTGGAACAAGGTAGCCCCTGTCCTTTTGGCATCTGGACGGGTCAGATGGTGATGGAACTTCGTATTCAGTTCTGCGTTCCACGTTTTGTGTGGACCAGTGGACAAGTGGAACCCTTCACAAGTCAGTCACCAGGATGGTAAGATATCTAGAAATAGTGAACAATAAGATATGGTTAAAGAAACAGGTTAAAGACATTTAACCTGACAAAGAGTCAGGATGACTGATGCTTATTTTTTTGTTTGTGAAGGGCTGTGATCGGGAAAGGGAATTAGACCAATCTGTGTGGTTCCAGAAGGCAGATCTAGGTAGCTCCTACCATGATAAAAATGAGAAAAAATTTCTAACACCTAGAGTGGTCCAGACAAGAAGGAGCCTTGTCATGAGCTGGTCAGCGACTTGCCACTGTCAATGTCTGCAGTGAACGCTGAACAACTTCTCAGGGAGCTCCTTGACAGGCTGCAGCTGAGGGTTGACACGGATGACCCGTAAGTTCTCCTCCAGCTTCAAATGTCCGTGTCTTTTAAAAAAAGATTTGATCAGCTGAGGTCTGATTTCCTACACTGCCCAGACCAGGCTGTTGTGTTATGGTGGGTACACTTTCTTGATCCAACTACGTTCATTCATTTAAATTTGGATTCTTTTTGTCTTTCCCACGTTCGCTATCCTTATTCCTTATGCTTGCATAATTTGAATAGAAGTTATCGAATTGAGTAAACTGGAGTAAATATTATGAACACAAATGAAAAATGTAATTAAGAGACAGGGTTATGTAAGGGCAATGAAAGTAGATTTCCTCTTGTTCTAATTTCAGTGGGCACGTGGCATTTGCATTAGCTACTCAGGTTTCTATTGATCCCTTTAAAACAAAATCTTTTTCAGAATATTCAGGAAAACATAAAACCTCATGTATCTAAGGTTTGGAATTCAGGGTGAGGGTCATAGAAAGAAAATACAAACACAGGCTGAGTAACAGAAGTATTTCACACTGATTAGGACGGAGCTGGGAGCACGGGTTAAGCCATTTTATTTCCCTCACATAGGAGGGGTGTCTTTTATTAGCGTGAGACCAATCTTTCCTTCTCCTAAATGGTAAACAAACAAACAAGTCTGGGGATGTTTTAACAGACACTTTTGCACTTAGGACGTTCAGTGCTCTGAATAACAAGTCATCGCAGTTTCCGCAGTTACGATGACAAAGCACATTTGGCATCACGTCACGCACATCTCCCCTCCGTGGGTCCGCAGGCTGCCACAGGGACATCTTCCAGCAGCTTGCATTCTCAGATGTGGATGTCGCCAGTGTTCTCGCTCCAGATGCCTTTGTTTGTCGGACCATCTGTACCTATCACCCCAGCTGCCTTTTCTTCACATTCTACACCAGCGCCCAGAAGACAGAGTCACAAAGGTGAGCGTGACTGTGAAATGTTCACGGCTGTCCTGACAGCGCTTTAGTTTCACAGTTTGAGGTTTTTTTTTTTTTTTAAGTTTTGTTCATTTCCCGTAAAACACTTGAACTCAGTTTTAGGTACTTTTCCTCCAGGTGCAGATTAGTTAAGAGATTAGCCGACCTTTCTACCCACCTTCTCTCACTTGTACCATTGAATCCATGAGACAACAGCCCTGGGGAAAGAAGGGTATCTTTCCTACTGAGCTTAATGTTCCATTAGCTGGAAGTAAAAACTACTCACTAAGAACGTATCCTTTAAGCTCATTTGTTCTAACCGCTCTGTTTCAGAAACCAGAGCCCTGTTTCTCCTGCTCAAGGTTCTGCTTCGACCCCCTGACCCTCAGATAACCTGTCCTTTTCTTTATGCACAAGATGGAGCTCCGAGAAGGATGGATGGTTATATAACAGCACCAGCACTGTGAATCTCCAGAATTTGTTCTTTCCTTTTTTTTTCCTTTAAAAGGCAGAACTTTATCTTTCTCCTCTTTTCAGGTTGTCTGTTCTTAGCAGTTTTCTTCAGGGGGAGGTGTGGCTTGATTTACATTCAATCTCAGTGATCTATGAGAGTCCTGTAGTCTGACTGACCTTGAAGAGAATTTCTCAGAAGAACAGAATTTGCAGGGGGTGTTTGTTTGTTGTTGTTGTTTTGACATGAGGTGCTTTTGTACTTGCCTTTAATGTAGTGTTCTTTCTTTCTCCTGCTTTCTTTCAAAATAGAAATGTCTGTTTCCTTAAGACTTCCCAAAGTGGGACCCCGAGACCGCCTACTCCTCAGGAAAATGCCATATCTGGATACAGCCTTTTAACCTGCAAACAAACTTTGCCTGGTAATGTGACTCAATAATACTACACAAAATGTGACAAATGCTGTGATTGTCTAACAATTCTCAACAATGTACCAGAAACTTGGCTAAATGTGGTTTATGGCTGTTTGCATTTTCTCTCTCTTTATAACCGGCACAGAGCCCTGCCATTCCAAAATTTACTCAGAAGTTGACTTTGAAGGAGAAGAACTGAATGTGACCTTTGTTAAAGGAGCGAGTGGCTGCCAAGAGGCTTGTACGAAAACGATGCGCTGTCAGTTTTTTGCTTACTCTTTACTCCCGGAAGATTGTAGAGGAGAGAAGTTAGTGAAAATTTCTTCTTCAAAGACAGTCGGCAAGACAATTTCACGAGCTCTCCTCCTCCGTGAAGGGTTAATCTTTGTCCTGATTTTGTCTAGGTGTAAGTGTTCCCTACGATTATCTCTGGATGGCTCCCCCACTGGGATTACGTATGGGACACGAGCGAGCTCTGGTTATTCTCTGAGGCTGTGTAAAAGTGGGGACAGCTCTGGTGAGTACATCTCACGTTCTCATAGAACTGCAAGGGGATGTTGGAGTTGCTTTGATAGCTTGTTTGGTCTTTTATAATGGAATTACGTGTCTTGTTTTCCTTGGCTGAAGAGGACTCTGATTCTCCCCCAAGTTCAGCCACTAACTTCAACACTCTCTTCTAGTCTGTGCAACAAAAACTAACACACGCATTGTTGGAGGAACCAACTCTGACTGGGGAGAGTGGCCCTGGCAGGTCAGCCTGCAAGTGAAGCTGAGAGCCCAGAGCCACCTGTGTGGAGGGTCCATCATCGGACACCAGTGGGTCCTGACTGCAGCCCATTGCTTTGACGGGTAAGGTTTGGCTGCATCTTATCTGGGCTCTTCGCTTGCCTTTTTGTGTTGAAGACTCTATAATCAATTTCTCCATCATGTTGTCAGTTTATTAAGAGAAGTTTATTCTCTTTCAATAAAAGGCATTTTAGAACAGAGATGGGATTCAAAATGTCCACTAACCAGTAGGGCCCAAGCTCTGAACCATCGGACCCATCAGAACAGACTGCGGCATGTTTGCTGGAGTGGCGCTCCCCGGAGGATGGCGCTCCTGCTTTCAAGAATAACTGAAAAGTACCCCAGTTGTTGCCACCTTCACCCACCGCTTCCCAAATGTATTCTGCAAAGACGTATTTTTCAGACCCGTTGATACTTTACTTTCAGCTCTTTGATTCACAAATGTAGTACTAACAGTAAAACAAAAAAGTGATTGCGTCTTACCCTATATAATTCAATAAATATGACCGGATATAATATTTCTACTTTAACACATAAATAATGCACATGGTGGGGGGTTTGCCATTTTAAAACAGACATAGTAGTTCGACAGAACGGGGCTTGAGTCACAGCTCTGCCACTTGTTAGAGGCATGAGTGCCCTCGGGCAATAATGAGCACTTAGCTTAATTTTCCTATCTGTAAAACAGGAATAAAAAGAGTATCTTATTCATAAGGTCATTGGAAGGGTTAAGTGACACATTTAAAATGCCTAATACTATACCTGGAACATAAAGATTTCTCAAAAAAAAATATAAGCAATGATTAAACAAGACACGTAAAAACGGACAAAACATATGGACAAGGGAAAGAGGGACTAGTGGCCCTAACGTAAAAGACACTTGAGCTCTTTCAAAAAGTATTTTTGGTTTCATAAAATTCCTCCGTATCCCCTGTCATCACGGGTTGCTGTAACCAGGATGGAGGCCACTGCCCCCGAAATGTAACAGCCGGGGCCCAGCGGGCAGGGCAGCGGGCAGGGCAGCGCAGGGCGGGGCTCCC